CATTCTTTATCAGCGGTCACATGACTCAAACCCAAAGTGTGAACCTTCAGATTTTTATTTGAAGAGCGGGAAAACTCGACTGTTCCTTTAAAAGTGGTCTTGTGATGAGCGACAGCAGCTCTCAGCTTCAGGCAAGTCATCTCTGTCAGCTGATGTCCAGCAGGAACCTCACTTCCGTCAAACTGGACGCAGACGCGCATGAAACACCGGAAGTTGCACATGTACGCCTTCACAGTAAACTCCTGTATCACGCGTTATAGCTTGATTTCAACCAACAAGTTTGAGATCTGGCACATTCATCATATGCACGACTAACATAATATATCACGAGACGTTACCTGGTCATCTCTGAAGCAATCAGCATAATAATAATAATGGTAAAAAAGTCCATATTCATCAGGATCAAACCACCTCCTGAGCTGCAGCCAGCACGAAGCAAGCCGCTGATCAGAAGCTGAGACTGTGGAGCTGTGAAACGCTTTGTAGTGTTTCAGGAAATCTTTATGAATCACGTGGTTACGTGGACAGTGACGTAAAAGAGATTTAAATCCAGTGTGAAATCTTAAGATTTTGCTATTCTTTGACAACAGGTTTAATAATAGTATTCGTCTTGGTAAGGTGTGAATGCCTCTTTTTCAAGAGTCTCTGTTTCTCCATCCATTTCTTTCTGGACTCACTGACTGCAAAAAGGTTTTGCTCTTTGCCACACAAATTCCTCCTTACTAACAAAGTGAAGGAGATTTCATTTAAAATATAAGAGATACATTAAGCTCCCACAGACCTGCTCGCATTTATTTTGGTCTTGTGCCTTTACTCGGGTTTTATGGAACAATGTCGCTACTTTCATCTCTGACAGAAAGAAACTAAATTTGTACTTTTTTAACCTAACGTGTTATTTGGTTATACTGACTTTGGTGAGAAAGACTCTAATGCTTTTGAGCTCATTAATCAAACACCACATCCATAATCTATGTGACTACAATTTGTTCCTCTCACAACAAAAGCTTTAAAAACCATTAATATTTGTAATATTTTAATGTGTTTTTGTAATTATTCAGTCACTGTGTCCCTCGCTTTTTCCCATTTTAATCTGTATTTCTATCCTGTTTGTTTAATTATTCATGCTGTTCCACTGCATTACAATTTTGCACTACGTGTATTATGCCTGTTGTTAAAGTTTCTGATGAAATAAAGTTGGAGAAAAAAAATCAAGACTTTGTTGCTGGTTTTATTTTGAAAGGTCAGCCGGATGTGCCCTGCGCGGTTCGGTCGCGCGCTCGTGCCGTTGTCAGCTCGTCAGGAATGATTGCGTGCAGGTGAGGCCGGCTGTGCTACTAAAGCCGTCCCGAGGAGCGTCCCCGGCTCTGTGAAGCTGTTACCGCGAGCACCTCCGTCATGGCCTCGCCCATCTGTACCCCCGCGGCCACCTCCACCCCGGCGGCCGCCTCCTCCTCCAGTGGCCGATCCAGCCGCTCCGCCGGCCGGCGAAGCGGCGCGGCGGCCGGCCTGTCCGCCTCCAGTACCAGCCCGTCCCGCCTGTCCCGGCTGCAGGAGAAGGACGAGCTCCGGGGCCTCAACGACCGCCTCGCCAACTACATCCAGCGGGTGCAGGAGCTGGAGAGTGAGCGCTCCTACATGCTGCTGAAGCTGGAGGAGAAGGAGGAGGCCAGGAGCAGCGTGCGGAGGCTGTACGAGGAGGAGCTGGCCGACGTCAGGAAGTCCCTGGACGGCCTTGCCCAGGAGAGGGCCCAGCTGCAGATCGACTACGGGAATCTGTGCGAGGAGCACCGGACGCTCCAGGCGAGGTAGGAGCGCACAGCGTTACACCAGACTGCAGTCAGAAAGTCTCTGATTTAGAGGATGGTTTCCGCCCCGCTTTATAAAACTTCATAGGAGTTGATGGATGCTGATTATTGATCCTTCATAAACGTTTGTCTCATCACGGAGATTAAATCTTTCCTCAGTCTGTTATAATAATACATTTTCTTTATATGCGCCTTTAAAGACCCTCAAGGTCACCTTACATTAGTACAACAAAATAAAAACATAAGGTAAATATTAAAAAAAGTATGAAAGCTAAACAAGGTAGAGCTAGTCGTGATGAAGGGTCTGCAGTTCTGAACAGATGGAAGTACAGAGGGAGTTTGTAGTCCGGAGATCTGGTGGAAGTGCATCCCAAAGTGTCGTCGCAGAACGACCGAAGAGTCCCAGGGTAGACATGCGAGCAGGTGGAAAGCTGGAGAAGAACAGAGCACGTGTGGAGAAGATGAATCTGGAGGAGCGAGGTTATGAAGCGCTTTGAATGTAAGAAGCAGGATCTTGAAATTGACACTGAGGTGAACTGGAAGCCGATGGAGACACAGGTCAGTGTGTGCAGCAGTGTTCGCCCTGCAGACCTCCACAGGGCAGCAGATAAGCAGCCCTGGTGTGACTCGAGTGCTTGGAGTCCAGTTAAAGCCACTTTTACATGTTACAGCTGTAAAGGCTCTAAAGTACGCAGACAGCAGATGAGCAGGTGCGGCTCAGTTTCATTAAACATCCTGGTGATATGAAGTCAGGCAACGTGGTAAACATGGACTGTGAGTGTCTGTGGATCTGAGTCTGTGCATTTGAAACTCCGAAGTGTGAGCGCCGGCCTGACTGAGTGACTCCTGTGATGGTTTGTTTTTGTGTTTAACAGACTTCTGCTGGGGGAGGGCAGCAGTGGCGTTTCTAGAAAATTTTTGTTGGGGGGGATGAGATTTTAACCACTACGGTGCAAAGTTTTTAGATACTGCGTTGATAAAGTACAAGAGATACAATCAGTGCTTTGTCAGTGTTTACTCAGCATTCAAGGACATCAATATTTGCATAGTATTTTTACTGACATGTAGTGCACATATGTTTTGGGCAAAAACATTTTTGAATATTAAAATACAAACATTTGTAACAAACAATTGACAAATTAGCCAATGCCAATGTAAAACTTTATCTGCCTGTTAAAAAAAGAAGATAATCTTCTCACAATCTGGTGTTTGATTTTGAAACAGGAAAAAAGTGGAGAAACAACTGAAAAGACTAACATTTGAATAAAACCTGAAAGCAAGTAAATACTTTCTATGCTGCCTTATGGTAAACTTTGGTAATATTGATAAAGAACAACACTGGCTGATGATGAAATACAGTCAGCTGGCATGGTGACACTGCCAGTATAACCTGCAGGGCTGGACTGGGACAGAAAATCGGGCATTTTGACTACTGACCGACCCACCAGGTAGTAAAGCCATAAAGCCTTTGAATGAAAACAAACCCTGTGGTGACAGTGATGTACACAGTCTTTTTGGTATATGTATGATTTCTATACATTTTACGTCAGATAAAAACTTTGGTTATAAGATTTAGATAATTATTTAATAAAAGCTAGATATTTAAATGAGAATAAGAAAGAAAAGTATTTCTTTGTGCCCTCCTCTCCCTGTTAATGCCCTACCTGCCCCCCTGGCAACACTTTGCTAGACCCGCCCCTGCACAGTTACCAGCTGTCAGCTACATAAAAAAGGATCCTGGTGTTATTTGTCTCTCAGAAACAGTTCATAACTTCAACTCATTCATGTCACCTAAAAGGTAAACCTGTTTCTCCATCACCTGTTCAGCTCTGATGATTCAGTAAGGACATCTCCTGGTTTCATCTTCATGTTTCCCTCTCACCACATATCCAAACCGACATCATGACCAGCAGCTTTACAGCTGTGGCTCCAGCAAACATCAGCTGATACTAGAAATTAATATTAAATAAATTCTAACAACAGCTGATCAAGCTTAAACGTGCTGCTGTTGTTTAGCGCGACATCCGCTGGTTTCCTGTTTCTGGCGCAAAGTGGGAGATAAATAAACAAGAGAGAAAAGCCGATCAGCTGATCATTGATCAGTTTCATGATTGAAGTAGCAACAGGAGAGGCAGGGGGAGAATGAGAGGAGAAGAACCAGCTGTGCAGCGTAACGACAGAATAAATCCAGCTTTGTGTCTTTTTTTCATTCTAGCTGAAGTTCGGGACAAACTGCGTCTCTTCTCAGCTCAATATGAAATGTGTAATATTTTCTATGAATGAGGGACCATTCCATTTTTTTAAGGAGCCGTTGGCAACTCTACTAACCTTATGAATAAAATAAAGTTCACTATCAGTAACATCATAGCACCACCCAGCTGTATAAAAACTCCAAGCTGGCTAGAACGCAGTACGAGTTATTGCAACTGACAGTAAAAAGTCAGCACAACGAAAATAAACTCCACCTAAACTTGGTTTATATCTGACCCAGATAGACTGCAGGTCATAACTTCTTACCTGAAGTTCAGTTCACCTGACACTCGGACTGGCGGCTGCCTCGGGGCTCTCCTCCTGCCTCCCCTTCCCTCATCCACCTGCTGCCTCTGTGGAAGCCCCGCCATAGCCACCACCAAACAACGGAGTTATTTCTACACATCGACCTGCATCTGGCCAATCCACCACCTCTCATTGTTCATGCCGTTACAAAAAAAATAAAAAATAAGTCAAATAAGCCCGATGGCCAGTCCAGCTATGTTAACCTGCAACCAAATCTGCAGCTCCATACAGCAATGTTACGACTTAGATTATATCTTATAACTCATAACTCTTATGTTAGCTGCCCTCAGTAGCATACTGTCTGAAATATTCCACGGCTGCAATAATTCTATAAGTGTTATTTTTTTCCTTGGTATTCTAATTTCACCGAAGTTTACTAAACTCAACAAACTTGATATTACTTACCGGGACATTTATTCTGTCCTCATTTTCTTTCACCGAAAAATTGTTTCCTGCAGTGCCGTCTTTCGTGCTTGGCTCTCCTACCTTTGCTAACGTGATGCACATAGCGCAGAAGGATGCTGCATTCACTTACAATCGGATATCTGAGCTTCACCGTGAAAACATAATCGGACATTTGATATTTGATTGAATTTTATTGTTTTGCCTTTGGGGTGGCACCTGGGGTGGCCAGTCTGGTTGGGGGGGTGGCCTGTGCCCCCCCAGGCCACCCCGCTGGACACGCCATTGGAGGGCAGCAGCTGGTATCACACGACCGATAACGTTGTGCTCGCGTCTCTTTCAGGCACCAGAAGAAGGAGGGCGATCTGACCAACGCGCTGGCCCAGTTGAGGAGAGCTGAGGAGACTCTGAGCTTGAAGGACGCCGAGTTCACCAAACTGCAGTCGGAGAACCGCAGACTCAACGGCGACCTCGCCGACCTGCAGAGCCAGCTCGAACAAGTAAGAAGGGCAGCCGCCGTTAAACTGTGCAGCGTGCGTGGAACGCCCCAACCAGTTATCCTCGTCGGAGACGTCGTGTCTCACCTGCGGCGAGGGACATGAAAACGAGCCTGCGCCGTTGGGTCTGACAGGATGTGAGAAAATCCTGGCTTAGCTTGAAAAGTAGAATCGGAAACATGAATGGTTGCACGTTAGCTTCAGCCCACCAATCAGGCTTCATCTGTTTCAGCGCTCTTATAATTTCACTTACTCTTGAATCTGTAACTGGGCTGATTGAGCGTCACCTGCCCCGCAGCAGGCTGGCTTCACAGCACGAGTTACCATGGCGATGTACGCAGGTAAGAAGTGAAATCCGGCAGGCTTCGGCTGTCTGTCCGCGCTGCCGTTTGTGGTGGTCGCACAGCTCTGAGCTCATCGGGGGCTGAAGTGATGTGAAGACGGCTGAACTTCTGAATAAATTCAGTGGCGTTAAAGTGCATTCCTGCAACCGGTGTCTGTGAAAATTAGGAAATTGGTCCCAAACTTCATGGTTTGTCACTAATCGGATATTTGAAAATCCTAATCGTTAGGTGCAGTCAGTCCCTCAGCTCTGACGTTCGTCTTATTTGTGTCACCAGCTGGAGGCTCTGCTGGCAGACACCAAGAACCAGCTGAGCTCTGAGACACTGAGGAGAGTCGAAATGGAGAGCCAGGTGCAAACGCTGAAAGAGGAGCTCGAACTGCACAAGAACATCAGTGAGCAGGTAACTCGGGCTGCTGCCAGTTTCTACATTTTCAGGTTGGCGCATCTTCACGTCACCGTTTCACCTCTTTGTTTTTGAAATAGGAGATCCTGGAGATCCGAAGCAGACACGAAAGACGCCTGGTGGAGGTGGATTCAGGGTGGAGGGGAATGTTTGAAAGCAAACTGGCTGAGGCGATGCAGCAGCTGCGGCAGGACAGCGAGTCGCAGCTTCAGCAGTACAAAGAAGAGATCGACCGGGTTTTCGGCTCAAAGGTTAGAGCTGCTCACGGATTATTTTCCGATATTAAAAAATGTGTTTCACGCTGCTTTGTGCCCGACAGCTACACAACGCCCAGCAGGATGCGCTGGAGAAGAACGGCGTGGCTTCGGCCACAAAAGACGAGCTGGACGCCACGAAGGTCCGAGTGGAGACCCTCAGCTCGCAGCTGCAGCAGTGCAGAAAAGAAGTGAGTTGGGGGAGGTCTGTGCTCGTCAGTGCAGCTTCCAAGTTTCCTGCAGTTTCTGCACCAAAATGAGAAAAAGCCTCTGATGTGGAGGGAAACGCTCTTCGTCTTAATGTTCCCCCCTCTCTCTGTCAGAAAATCTCTCTGGAGAACCGCTTCCAGGACCTGGAGAGGACTCTGGACAGGGAGCGGGAGGACTGGCACCAGAAACTGAGTCAGTAGGAGCAGGAGCTGCTCAACATGAGAACCCAGATGTTCAGTCAGCTGGAGGACTACGAGCACCTGATGGATGTGAAGGTAGCTCTGGACGTGGAGATCAGTGCCTACAGGAAGATGCTGGAGGTGGAGGAGCAGAGGTATGGCTGCGTGTGAGTGGAGGGGTCCTGGGTCTCAGGTGTTTTTGCTCCCATGGTTGTTTCTGTTTCCTGTCAGGTTTAAGCTGTCGCCCAGCCCCTCGCAGCGGACATCCATACCTCGAACGCACGAGCACAGCGGCCGAAAGCCCAGAGGGAAGAAACGGAAATACGAAGGCGAGTCGGGGAGCTCGCCCGCCTACAAAATGTCCAGTCGTTCGATGGAGCGCGGCGCCGTGAGTGTAGAAGAGATTGACGTGGATGGAAAATATGTTCGACTGAAGAACAACTCAGAGAAAGTAAGTCTGTACGGGTTGTAAAGCCTCGGGTCAAGCTGGAGGATGTTTGACAGCTTGGTATTGGATGCAGAACATGCATTATTGGTCACATGATTTCATTAAAAGCAGCACAAACACGCCCAGAGGTCCAGTTCAGGGTCTGCAGAGGTGAAGCCTAGCGGACAGCTTGCAGCTACAGCTGTCACTGTTCGCCTGTCAGTCAAGTAGGCCACGCCCCTAATAAGGCAAACTGTAATATTGCTATTTAGAAATAAAATATTCTCCCCATACAGATGTTAGCACAGGGGGAATGTAGCAGCTTGTGTATCAGGCTGTAAACATGTTTAACACCTGTGATGGAGTCGCTGCTCCCTCTGCTGGATGTTGGAGGAACTGCAGGTTTTGCTGCTTCTGCCTTGGCTGCATGTTTTCATGCCTGTGGGTTTAATTGTGTAGGGATGCACGACCAGCTTGGGTCAGTGTGGCGTGGCGCTCTCAGTGGAGCGGTCTGCTTCCGATGACCTCCTGCACACTGCTGTTAACGATTTTGTGTAACTTTCCATTACTGGGAGGAAAAACTGTTACATGAACTACAATAATGTCAATATTGCACAGAGCCAGCAACCCGCCTGGGTTCTTCATGCGCTCCATCACTCACTGACCCAGCTCCACATCCCACCCCGACCCGTTCAGCACTGCAGTAATTCATCTGTAATTACATTTAATAATATATAATGATCTCAGGACATTAAGCTAGCTGGTGTTGGAGCAGCCTTCATGTAAAATATGTGCAAACAATTATTATTATTATTTTTTTTTTTAAATCTCTACAGGGTCACGATGGCGTGCTCTGCAGTTTGAGAAAACCCATTTTAGGGTCGAGATGATGACTCTTTAATTTGTTTCTCATTTGTTTCCAGGAGCAGTCTCTGGGTGGGTGGGTGGTCCGGCGGGTTTACCCCGGCGCTGGAGACATCACCTTTCACATTCCCGCCTCCTGCGTCCTGGCTGGTGGGCAGACACTCACTGTGAGTCCTTTAACATTGTAGGAAGACTTATTGACCGCCACTGGTAATCACTGTAAACACAATGAAAGTGTGTGTGCGTGTTCGTGTGCGTTTACCTGTCAGATCTGGGCAGCAGGCGCTGAGGTGGAGGTGGAGCCCAGTGACCTGGTTCTGCAGGGCCACAAGAGCTGGGGGGTCATCACTGATATCAGGGTGATCCTCCTGAACTCCAACCACGAGGTAGAGGAAATAAACCACACCTCCCAGAATGCACCTGTACAATAAAGCTGAAAGTAATGCTTTGTAACATGAACACTTTATTTAACTCTGAAACTTTTAGGTGATGATTTTGAAGTGTGGCACCTTCCACAGCTGTACAGGATATGTTTGTATTACTGCGATTTGATTTAAACAGGAAGTGGCCGAGCGCAGGCTGTGCATGCTGGGTGGGGGTGAAGACGACACTGGGCTGGAGTTTGATGAGGAGTTTGTCACGGGGAGTGAAATGCAGCGCTTCCAGAGACAGGTAACCTCAGGGGGAATGTTCAAGCAGAAAAGGACCAAGTGCAGGACCTCAGACCTCATGTCTGCTTTTGTTTTCCCACCTGCGCTGCAGCCAAAGCGAAAAAAGAAGTGTTGTTCGGTGTCGTGAGTGCGGTCCACGCTCGGCCTGGATGGTAGGTGGGGGGTAAAGTAGCTTCAGCTCTTCCGCTCGCCTTGCCTGCTCCCATAACCAGATGCATGGCTTGTTTCACTCATCCATCACGCAGCCCAGTTACTCTGCTGATGAAAGCGCAGCTCACTCGTCAAGTAAACTCAAAGTGTAGTTTGAGCAAGCTGGAGGCCGTCAGTTTGTTTCAGGAGAGAATTAACGCCTTCAAATCTGAGGCCATGGTGCTCTGCAGAGACAGGGTGGAGCGCCCACTCCAGGCAGGGAAAGACTGACACAGCTGTGTGCAGTGACTGCAGAGATGTGGATGCTGTCCTGGTCTCTGTGGAAGAGAGTGGAGCATCGTCTGAAGGATGTCTGGGCGCATCCTTAGAGATGCTGAGGACTCAGAGTAGAGCTACAGTCTGCACGTCCACGAGGACCTGCAGTACCTCCAGAAAGCATCACTGCTTCACTGCACCGCTCCAGTTATTCCACATTCTGTCGTGTTGCATCATTATTAATGGATTAAATTCATTTTTCACCTCAATTCTACACGCAGCACCCCATTATGGCGAAGTGATAAAAGCAAATGTATTAAAAAAAATTTAAACCCATGAGATTAAGAGTGAATGTATTCCATCTTGGAAAAAGGCCGTGAGAACTTTCTGGATGCTCTGTAAAAGCGAACAGAAAGAGAAGCGACCCGCTCCAAGCACAAACGCATCGTCATCTGAAAACTTTGCATCTGAGAAGTCCGTGCTGCTGCTGCTCCACCCCAGCACCCACCTGTCGCACCCCGATTAACTAATCACTGTTCTGCTGCCGTGGCACGAGCTGTCTCCCGTCGCTCTCAGCCTCGTACGCTGTATAACAAGTAGGGCCTGATCACATGACCTCCGGGGGACACGGGGCTGAAGATATTCAGTAATGTCAGCAGGTGCTTGTCCATGAAGTCCTCTACAGTCAGAATCTTGAACTGGACTCAACGGGGAGCCAACGCAGCTGTGTCAGCAACACGTGAGAAGAAGCATTTCTGCAGCGTTTTGAACAAACTGCAGACGTTTCAGGGAGTTTTTGCTTAAACATGTAAACAATGAATTACAGCAATCAAATGTGATGAAATGAATGACCGTCTCCAGTTCAGTGTGAGATACAATAGGACTTAATTTGGCAACGTTTAAGTGATAAAAGCAGGACCGAGCCAGAGATTTAACATGAAGATCCAAAGTGAGAGCGGGTCAAAGGTTACCCCGAGGTTCCTGAGACGATTTGACAAATGTTGAAAGGGGAGCAAATCTGTCAGGAGCACCTACAAGGACTCCAGTCTTTCCTTCATGAAGGAAAGACTGGAGTCGGAGGAAGTTGTCAGCCATCCAACCTTTGATGGGGTTTAAGCACTAATTCAGGATGTGCAGCTTAGAAACATCTCGGGGCTTAACAGAAATGTGCAACTGAATATCATCTGCATAGCAGTGATGGCAAGTGTTCTTAAAGTAGCTCAATACAGGAAGTAGATCTATTAGAAACCATAAGGGGCCCAGTACAGAACCCTGTGGCACACGATGGCTGAGAGAAGTGCAGGATGACCTGCACTTGCAAACACCGCAGATGAGCATCGTTCAGACCGTCCAAGGCAGATCCAGATACGCCGACCCAATATTTCAGCCTATCGAGCAGCATGTGGCGGTCAGCCGTATCAAATACCAACGTGAGGTCCAACACTAGCAGAATAAAACCTTTTTCATGCAAAATGATGCATGAAAATGTCACTGCAGACTCTGCGACGAGCTGTTTCAGTAGAATGAGCTCTACGAAAGTCCGACTGAAACATGACACGAACACTGTTTGTCTGAAACTGCTGAGAGCTGCTTGGCCTCGAGCTTTTCTTAGTGATAAACACCAACTTTGAGATCCGTCTGTAACTGCTAAGAAGAGAAGAGTCGAACTTGGCTTTTTTTTTTAAGCAGGACTTTACCAGACGCAGTGCTGATTATGGCGAGCACACAGGGACCAATCGACTGGAAGACATCTTTGAATAAAGATGCAGGTAAACTGTCGAGTGAACGGGAGCGCACTAATTTTACCAGATCGGGTGAAAAACTTTGTAAAATACCAGACTGAGCTGGAGCAGGAAGTGACGGTGAGGATGTGGAGCAGGAGTAATAATATGGTGTCAAATAACACCTTAGATTACCTCTGCTCTTTGGACCAGGCCCTCGCATCTGTAATTACATCATTTAAAAGAAACTAAAAGATCTTTTAAGTAAACGAGAGGAACATTTAAACGAGTTTTCCTCCACGAGCGCTCAGCTTTATGACAATCACGTTTTAAACAGCAGGCGGGCAGGTTTCACCTAAAATGGAAAGGCGACGATTATTAAAAAGATCGGTGAGAGACCAACCGCGTCACGAGGGGATAAATATAAATGACCAGCATCAGTTTCTCAGCTGTGGAGGAATTTAAGATGCGAGCGCTGACCGTCCGGCGAAAATGAAACTCCAAACACAAATGTGTCCAGTAGCGCACGCGGCCTCCTGCTGTGGTACAGTGAGCAGGATTAGCCCCGCCCTGCACATCACGCCCTCAGGTTTGTTTGGCTTTGAAGGTTCAGCCTGTAATGCTCATTAATCTGGACATCCAGAGGTTTCCACCCCGCCCTCTGCTTCCTGCGAGCTTTCTACTAACCAGACCTTTATTATGACGATAACGCTGCTGCTCTGTCCCCCTCAGGATTTCTCGAAGGAGACCACTTGTGCTGTGATGTGACGCCTGCTCTCTGCCACCGACCTCGACGGCGGTCTGAAAAACCCTGGAGCAGCTCGGGCCTCAGACTGCTGCTTTCTGGCTCCAGTAGTTTTATTTACAGTAGGACGGTGAGATGATCTCACCTGCCTTACAGCAACAGTGTCCCTCACGTTTCGTCGCTCTCGCTTCACAACAGGAGCTTTGATTTTAATTTTTGTTGAAGTGTAATAAATAAAGCTAAAAGTTTCTAAACAAATACAACTTGTGCTTATTTCCAGCAGCATGCAGAGATGCTGCAGGGGAACCGCACCCTAAAGTGCTGGGTTATTTTCATAGCTCAGCTTCTGGGTAAAAGCTGCAGGTTGGGTGGGTAGACTGGCGTGGTTGTCATGGGAACGAAACCTTTCTCCCACTGGAGACGTCCAGATGAACAGAATCCACCTTTGGGGATTTACCTGGATGATGGCGCACCGAGACACGGAAACTGTAGTTGTTTTCTCTTTTCTCAGTAACTCTGAAAGCTGCGCTGCTGGTCCAGCTGCTGCTCTGTGGAATCACCTGCGTTTCAGTCGGGATGCATCCATTCAGCACATCTGGACTAAAGCAGGCCGCTTTCACAGACCAATAGTTATCGAGCACAGACGTAACAGGTGGAGGATGTTTTGCAGCCTCCAGCTGAGGATTTGATGTCATCGTAATCAATGAGCGTAATCCTCTCAGAATGACAAACATTTACAAAATGAACTTATTGTTTTATTATATGTGACCTGAAATGAGTACCTGAGTCCATAAACTGACCACGAGCCACAGGTATCGCCCCCTGGTGGTCATTAGATCTAAGTTGGGAATCTGTGTGACTGAATTTACATCCTTCAGTGTTTACTACCACCTGTTTAACAATGAAGATGTGGACGCTATACCAAGGCTAGCCTCTGTAGTTCTTTGGGGGGTGTTTGACTACAAAGCAGTTTGGATCTGCTCCAGTGCGCCCCCATGCCATTACCACCAACACCAAAACACAGGATAATAAAAGTACAGAGGAAAATAAAAGGAGTCATTGAGTCTTTTGTGGTTTAAAAGTTCATGGGGTCGTGGGCTCCGTCCTTTGAGCTGTGCAGACTTCCACCTACACCATCGTTTCCTTGTTGATGGCTTTGCTGAGGAAGTGTATGGGCGCCACCTGCTGGTTAGGTGTTTGCGCTGACACAGGAACCCACAGTCGAACTCTCTGGTCAGTCTTCTTCCAGGTTTTGAAGAGATGCACATGGTAGCGCACAGAAACCTGGCAAACACCAAACCAGCAGAGACAATTTAAACATGAAACAAAATCACAAAGCGCACTATGCTTTCCACAACTGCACCAAAGCGTGAAACACTGACATTAAAACAAACACTTTCACTCCAGGTTGTTAATCAACCAAAGACCCAGACAGAGCTTTGGTCCATGCAGCCTGTAAAACTCAAACACCAGTTTTCTTTGTTATCGATCATCCGCCTGACTCAGTTTGTCTGATTTAGTCCTCAGCTCAAACAAAATAATCATTGTGGGTGATTTTAGCATCCATGTAGATACCAAACAGCTGACAGCCTGAACAGCATTTAATGTTATTAGGCTCAATTAGCCTCTTAAAGACCTGGATGGCCGCTAACTTTCTGCTTCTTAATTCAGATCAAACTGAGGTTATTGTACTCGGCCCTGAAAATCTTAGAAATATGGTATCTAAGCAGATTCTTACTCTGGATGGCATTACCTTGGCCTCCAGTAACGCTGTGAGGAACCTTGGAGTCATTTTGGATCAGGACATGTCCTTCAACGCACATATTAAACAAATATGTAAGACTGCTTTCTTCCATTTGTGCAACATCTCTAAAGTTAGAAATATCCTGTCTCAGAGTGACGCTGAAAAACTAGTTCATGCATTTATTACTTCCAGGCTGGACGACTGTGATTCATTATTATCAGGAAGTCCTAAAAACTCACTGAAAAGCCTTCAGTTAATCCAAAATGCTGCAGCAAGAGTCCTGACAGGGACTAGAAAGAGAGAGCAGATTTCTCCCCACCCATGCAGCCTGAGTGGAGTTCAGTACCACCTGAATCTGCCGTCTCCAAGATTTTCATTTAAATAGTGATTTCAAATATATTTTAGAATTTATATATTTGCATTATTGTAAACTGTAGTTCTGTGGATTCTTACATTTCTGAATCCATATCCGTACTCTTGAACCCTTTGAGACAGCTGTTCCTAATGTTTAGGGGCCCTGAGAAACAAAAGGCTTGAAAAGCAGCTGGCTGGGCCTTCTTTAACCTTTGCTCTCATGAGTATTTCTGCTGTAGGAGTCCATGGGGACGACTCACGTTTGGAGCCATGAGCAGACGTTGAGTATTTGCGTCACTTTTTAGTTTTAGAAGTTGCTACTTAGTAACTGCAAGTGTCCCCGTGCAGGACTGAAGTCTTCCACATTAATCTTCTACATTCCAGTTAGTAAAATAAGTTCATGTTCTGGATGAACAGCACAGACTCTAAACTCACCACAGTCCAGAACACATAGATGATGATGAGAGCCAGAGTGAGCACCAGGAGTCCCAGGGCCTCCATCCCATTGGTGTAGTAGAGCTCCATGGCTCCTTGAATGCACAGCCAGCCCGACAGAGACGCGAGCGGCGTGATGAACAGGAAGCAGGCCGCATCGCTGCACAGCGTCCTCCTCTGCTGCTGCATGGCTGGAGAGCACCACCACTGATGGAGGGAAAGAGGAGGCAGGAAGAGGATTAGCCTCATGTTTTCCATGAAATAGTAAAATGTCGGTGATATGTTTTCATGTTCCGACTGTTACTGCGTCCCTTATATCAGCAGGACACGGAGTTAAGACCAACGTAAGACAGGAAAACTCCTCCAGGAACCGTTTAGTGATCCTGCATTTACTAAGTGAAACTGGTGACATCAAACGAATACATTAAACTTATGTTTTATTTGTTCACTGTGTGATAATACAGGAGACTTTGTAGCTGCAAACCCAGTTCAGCTTTTACTTGGAGCTGCATCGAAGCAGAATAAAAGTGTGTGTGTTTGCTGTGTGGATTCGATTCGTACATCGCTAACAGGAAGTGCTGCACCTTTCCTCCCCTGCGTGCGTGCAGCATCGCCTGAGCAGGCCTGTGTTCAGTGTGTAGCTTAGCCTGGCACAGCACACGGTGCTTAATCAGCAGATTACCAGCCAAGAATGCACCTACAGAGAGCACCGAGGCCACTCTCCTGTCCTCTGCAGCAAAGAAGCACCGGCTAATCTGCCTCTCAGGCTAAGTGGCTTTATGGACAGCGAGCTGACGGCAACAGGTTCTCCAACGTGAAGCCAACAAACTCCTCCCACTGAGTCTGACATGCCACCATTGAGGAAAAAGAGCCAGCCTTCACTCTTTGCTCTGTCTGCTCTGCAGCAGAAGCCGGTGAATCCTTCTTATTTAACTTCAATCAGCCTCATTCATCTGTCTCATCTCACAAAGATCTTTCTCTGCAGGCTGAGCGTGACACGAGGAGAGGACACTACAAAAGATGACAAATATATTCTCATGTTCAGCTCACGAAGCCACTTGGTTTCATTAATCCAGGTTTGAGACATTAGAGAAGTGTGGCTGTCTCGGTCACAAGTCTGGGCCGCTGAGCATCAGTGTGGTGATGGGCCTACCTCAGTCAGAGGCTTTGGCACACGCTCCAGCACAAACTGGTGATGGCAGAGCTCGCAGTGGCCGCTGTCGGAGGCGGTGAGCCACTGTTCCAGGCAGCTCCGGTGCACCGAAGCCAGGCTGCCGGAGCACTCGCAGGGGGACAGCAGCTCTCCTGACGCCCGGCCTTCGTGGCAGATCCTGCAAAACTGCTCCTCACTGCACAGAGCGACACACGAACAGAGACGACAGGAAGTCTGCAAAGGCAGTTTTCTACTTTGACATTCAGAAGGTAAAAACTTTGCATAAACGAAAGGATTCATCCTGCCTTGTAGATTTACTCACAGGAAAGAAAAATATTAAACAGAATATTTTTCATCTGTCTTCAAATGTATAATGAAAATATATCATGACCTCTTTCATGGTGTTTTTTAATATGTGTCATCTCACTGTGATGTTACTGGATCTGAGTGGAAACGACACCATGCAGGATTCAGGGTGAAGCATTTGTTTGACTGAAGACTGGAGACTCTGAGGTAAGTCATCGAGGTCATAGCTTCTCATCACTAACCAAGAACCCTTCAGAAACGCAGCCTCTGTGAGTACTGCTGTTAACCATGTCCATTCTTTTATGTCCACAGTGTACTCCTCTCCTATTGGCTGCGAGTAGCTGGATGATTCACAAGCGTACACCCTGACATCCACCGTTATCAGATCTGTCCAGCGGAGCGCCTTTGGGAAGTGGTGAAATGCATCACCAGCATATCTGCAAGGTGCATCCAAGCGGCAACATAAAGGGCCTAAAATTATAGTTTAGAAACTGCAGTTCCTCTAACGTCCAGCAGAGGCAGCAGTGAGTCAGGCCCCATAGACTTCCATGTTAAAACTTTACAGCAGAAATAAACATGTTTACAGCCTGATACGCAAACTGTGTCTGTGGATCCTCCTTCATAACACCTGTACAGGGGAGGCTGTTTCTATCACTCACCTGTTTAAATGGTTTTAAGCCTTAAAGTTTGCATTATTAGGGGCGTGGCCTCTTTGACTGACAGGTGGCTGTAGCTACTAGCTGTCTGCTAGCTTCACCTGGACCGTGTTTGTGCTGTTGGAACCTTTTAACGACGTCATGTGACCAATAATATGACTGCTGTGAGGTCACTGCACTAACAGTTCTGGTAAAATTCAAGTATTGTGATTGGACTAAGCACTAATTGGCAGGTACCCGTCTCTGTGCGATGCTCCCATCAAACCCATTTAAACTGGGTTGGTGGTTCGGGCTGTAATGTGTCCAGGAAAGGCTTCGTCACTCTGGGTGATTTCAAACGTTGATAGCGTACGTTACAGAGGTGATGAACTTTCAGCCTCTGTGCTTCTGCTCCGGTTACCTGTCTGTGATGGACGCACACTCCGCAGTGGGCGTGTCTCCGTGATAGCACATCACTTCCTGGCTGCTGCTGTGGAGCTCTTCATCCAGCGCGGGCTCAGGGATGAACTTGACCTCCTCCACAGGACTGGACTCCCACCGGCCCACCGGATCCTCCACAGTCATATCTGCAGTACGAGGGGCCATTCACTCCACGTCTGCTACACACACACACACACACACACACACACACACACACACACACACACACAAACAAATGTAAAACAGATGGAATGAAAATACATCATGACACAAAAATAAATAAATAAAAATAAAAATATGGACACACAAGTGGATCTGCTGTCCGTCACAAACTGATAATTAAATTAATTATGAATGGAAGCTGCAAAATATGACATCATCCATCAGAATTAGGACTGGAGCTCTGAATATAAATAAATCATATTTCAGTAACTGGTCTCCCGACTCCAGTAACAGAACCCTTAATATTTACAGACAGGTTTAAAAAAATAAACCGTCAAAGATGGAGGAGCATTGGGCTCCTATTGGTCAGCATCACAACATTAAGGAAGTTCTGCTGACCTGCCGGTTTGTAATGTCTTTTCCAGCAGCTGTTTTCACCGTTTAGCCAGAACTCAGCACCAAACACAAAGTTACGGAGCTGAAAGGTGACAGTTATTTAATATTTTATTTATGATTTTTATTTTGTTTGCTCTGCTGCTCCCAAGTGGCCAGAAATCAGTGAATTAAAGGTTTAAAGGTTTAAGTTTTCATGCAAGAAATGAAATAACCTGTCAGTGCTTGAACACATTTACACTGAGAATAAATTAGTAATAAAAAAAATAGTAATATTTCTTCTTCAAGAACAGCAAATATTTCTCTCAAGCCAGCTCTGTTCTAGGATGCCCTCTGGACCCAGTGGAGGTGGTGAGTGACAGGAGAATGGCGGCTAAGCTGTCATCCCTGTTGGACAACATCTCCCACCCCATGCAGCAGACTGTGACAGCACTGAGCAGCTCCTTCAGTGGGAGACTGCGGCACCCACGGTGTGGGACGGAGAGATTTCACAGGTCTTTCCTCCCCACTGCTGTCAGACTCCATAATAAAGACTTTAACTGATCAAGCACACACATCCATACATATGCAATAATACTAAGTGCAATAATCCTTTCTGTCATCGTTGTATTTTTACTCAGTTGTATATAGTATTTGTATTTGTATTCTATTTTTATCTTATCGTATATTTATTTTATTTTATTCTATTCTGTACAGTTGTGTACTGTATTTATTCTTATTGTATTCTAATTTTTGCCTCATAACTTTTGCACTGTCCACTTCCTGCTGTGACAAAACAAATTTCCCACGTGTGGGACTAATAAAGGTTATCTTATCTTATCTTTTAATTCTGTCCTTCTAGTTATTCTATTCTGCTTCATTTTATCTTTATGAAAAAAATATCCATTTATTGTATTTTTTTAAATTTAGCTTTTTACTTATTGAGGTATTTATTTTATTCTACTTTTGAGCTTCCACTCCAGAGTTAGTCCACTGTAAATATTGTTATTGCTCAGGTGAGGTCCAGCTCACACTCTTCACAGTCCCGAGCGGAGACACATGAAACACGACGCTGACCAGCAAAGCAAAGTCTGTCGCACAACGAGCAGCTTTAATGACAAGTCAAGCAGCAGCCTTACCTCCAGCCTGAGCCGACGTTAGGACCAGCTCCGTGTTTATCATCAGGCAGAGTCCGAGTGACGAGGCTTCTCCTCCTAAAGCCGTCCAGCAGATTAGAGAGGCTGACGGACGCCGGTGAGAACACCGAGGGATTAGACGCAGAGGAAAGTAAGGGCCGGGCCAGACGAATGGAAATCACATCAGACTGAGTCACAGCACCTCGCCGTACCCCCTTTAATCCTGTTAGGGGGCTTCCAGGAAGCCAGCGGAGCGAGACCAGCGAGCTCCAGGCCGGTGGAGGCCGAGGGTGCAGACGGGGGGAGGGATGGTGTTTGTCTGTGATACAGCTTCATTCTGATTCACGCAGTAATCACTAAACATCCACCAGATCCAGAAGGTTAAAGTTAGAGTTTAGGTTACACTTTAAAAAAACTCTGTAAAATTTAAAAATGTCTTTTAAGAGCTCATTTTTCTCGTTTCTCATCATTTTCCACACACATCAGCTGTGACTTCATGTCAAAAACTTTGTGTTGTTGAAGAGATATTGGCTAAATGTGAAGTAGGGCTGGGCTGCACCTTCTTTCCAGTTAATACCAGTTTGTACCACAAGATGGTGCAGTGAGTCAGTGTAAGCTTTATTTAACAAAGCAAACCATTAAGAGAGGATACTGAGGATGCTGTGCGTCATGTATAAACGAGGCATCAGGTGCTGTCTAATGGCTAATGAAGAGCCAACAGCCACAGCTACAAGCTACAAGCTAACACTAGCATGTGGCCCAAAGTGACGTGTGACTGAACTGATTTCAGCCTTCATGCTTTTAATCCTGTGAGTACCACTAACCTAATCCTACAGTGTCGGGACAATGGACAGACGCATTAAAACCCAACAAGTCCTGTTGTTTTGCCGAATAAAATGGTCAGCAGCGCCATCCTCCGTCGCCATCACTGTCAAAGGCCACGAGTTCTGCTCAGAGTTTATTCTCAGTCTCTGTTGGAGGAATGGTTCACAGCTCCTCCTGCCTTAAGACAGCTTTCGTCTGATTGGCTGGCCCCTCAGAAACAGAAGTTTCAAGCAGCAGATGGGCGGGGCTTGATATCCTCTCTTGACATCATTCAGACCCATGAGTAGAAAAAGTTAAACTGAGAGTTTACATACATTCTTATATATTTCTATACTGTGTATTGTGTATTTTGTTGTACAGTTATTTTATTTTCAACTTTAATTTATATATTTTATTTTATTCCTTCCTAGTTAAATTGACCCTTTTTAATTTTCATTTTTATTTCCTATCTTATTCATAGTCACGAGCAGTTGTCTAAGCATTTCACTGCATATCGTACTGTGTATCACTGTGTATGTGACAAATAAAATTTGAATTTGAGTTCAGGGGTTACCGAGCTCATCATTAGAAACGTCGGTCATAACCAGAGCATCCGGTCCTGGAGCCGGAGATATACGACAGGAAGTGAGGAAGAGCAGCCGCATTCATGCTGAGGATGAGGGCGTGCAGGTAAATGGAGAACTCTGGTCCAGACAGCCTCCTGCGGTGCTTTTGTCTGCTATCGATCCAGACAGAGGTACACGCGGGATTAATGCCCGAGGGCTGTTAAAGGACCCGGCAAAGAAAGCGATCGATGGACTGGAGAGCGGCCCCTCGCTGCCGACCTGAGCAGGTTTAGAGAGGGCCCCCCGGCCCCATTTAACACAATGCACACCAAGGTTCACAAATAGACCCAGACAGACACAACACGAGCCGAGCCAGACTGGGAGCCGGGACAGGAAGTGGCTCTCCCCCTGTGCGTTTTAACGTCTGCTGTCAGAGGAATTATCACGAAGGAATTCCCAGTGATGTGCTTTTCCTCCGGGCTTTGTTAGCAGCAGCCTGGGAATGAATAACAGGCGGGATTGAAGGGAAAGGAGGAGAAAGAGAGGCCAGGCAAAGAAAGTCCTCCCACCTCTCTCCCTCTGATCCCAGCGGGACTTTTATCTGAGCTCACGTGTGGACGATGAATGTGAAAGACTCCATCTGCTGCTGGTCACTGCTTGTTACAGATGCTGCTTTAATCCACAGATGGAAACCGTCACATCATGCTTTTACTAAAATACTATATTTGTAAGAATCCAACACACCTGAGTCTCACGATGACGGTGACGCAGCCTCATTGGTGTAAATCACAAAGATCTGTGGCCCTTATGATTATTTGTACTTGACAATAACAGTTTGTTCTTGTATGAACCTCCTTCAAAGCCCTGCGGTCGCCTTCAGTCTGAGCGGTGTTTGCACAAATCAGTCAAATCAAAACTAATTTCATAAAAGAAATCCACCCAGCGGCTGCTAGCTTTAAAAACAGGAAAGAGAAAATGGAGTAAATTCATCGAGAGACAGTTTTCTTCTTTTTGCGCATCACAGAAACCACATTTCCTGTTGTTCACCAAATTCAAATGAATCCACACTTTGGATTTGAAGCCATAGGCGAGGTTTACATTAAGACTGAGCTGCTACTGGGCCACTAAAATCAAGAGGAAAAGACGTGAGCGACAGATGCACATGTGTTGATATTATTTTATGTGAAGAGGATACCTTTTTAAATCTGAGAGCTGTCTATGATGGGTGAAAACCCCACAAACTTCAGCAGTGGTGTTTTCCAGATTTAGATGAACGTTTTGGTGAAGTCAGCAGGTGTGACATCGCTGCTCTGATTGCTTCACATCTCGGCTGTTAGGAATTTATCCATGTTTGGGAAAACCAAGTGAAGAAACCTAAGTGTGCGTCAAACTCATTTCGCAGCGCTGTGATCTGATGTGGCACCGCTGAAACCTCCTGTCAGTGTACAAATGTCTGAGCTATCTGAATATGAGAGACAGTCTCACTTTCTCTACACGATACAGCGAAGCTGATGCTGCTGTTGTACAGAAAGACATCTGTCAGCAGGACTCTTTGGGCCTGAACTTAGGAAGTAAATGTATAAGATACAGAAATCTGTAACTTAATTACTGTGGTGCTTATTCTGGCCCACGGGCCTGATATTTAACACCTCTCCTGTAGTTGAACCTGTGGGTACCTCTGTGTCCAGGTGTGGAGGCCTAGCTCCACCCACCACACTACCTGCCGGTGGCTGATGCCCTCAGCCGTCGGCGTTCGGGGCCCGGCACTCGGGCGCGTGCCCGGCTCACTCCCAGCGGCTGCTTGGCAGGCCTGGCGCCCACGGCCGTGTCGGGCTCCTTCGTGGGGTGGGGTTCCCTCAGGCCTCTGGGACCGTGGCTCGGCCCGCTCTGGTGCGACTGGCGGGGCCTGCGGGCTCGTCACTGCGGCCTCTGTGGCTTCTGCACCGTGGTTGCTGGGTGACCCCACGTCTGTGTGGTTGTCTCTGTATCGTGTTGTTCTCAGGTTGTTTTCTCTTCTTTTAACAGGTGATCAGATTTTCTCAGCGTCTTCTTCCACTGTCCTTCCTCTGTTTTCTTTCTCCCTTTCTTTCTGTATAGTGGTCTGTCCAACTTGTAATAACTTTAAATAAAATTAAATTAATAAACAATGATAATATAGATCAATCAAGTGGAACAACCCTAACCCTACGCATTGGCACATTTTGTGAAAAAACAAATCCGTTGGCCATCTTTCCTGGCCTTCAGAGAACCTGTGGGAGGAGCTACTTTTACCTTTGAAGCCAAAAATCCCATTTAAAATCTTCTGCCTTTGTTTTTACTTTGTTCCTCCTGCACACGTCTGCAGAGAAGCAGCTTGGCTGAGTGAGCTGTATGCAATAAGAAACGTGTGTCTGTCAGGTGTAGGCGGGGTTCAGGTGTTCTCGCGAGGATTTGATTTGAATTCTGCTGAGGCTGAGTCAACATTTCGGAGCGCTCGTGTCAGAAATAGAAAGTGCGGAGCTCTGAGGAGGGACTCCTGGGACCGTTTGAAGTACAGACAGGGGGTCGGGGAGCGTTTTATCTCGGGGACGTGACGGTTTGATGCTCGCAGACCTTTCAAGGAGCTTTTTTTAAAACACAGATAAGAGGATTGGCTCGAGAGGAGCCATCAAAACAGGCCGAGAGACAAAAGCTCCACAGACCGAGCTGTGGCCGCCCGGAGGCTCGTCTGTACACCACTTTTTGCTCGTCGTGTTTCCAGACACAAACGTCTTTGCGACTTTCTGTGTGTGACGGTCATGCATGACACACGCGTGTTCTTCTGCACTAGTCATCTTTCAAAAAAAGGGGCGTCTCCATTAAAGGAAGAGCCCGCCAGCTTTTAGAGGCCTAATCTGTGAAGAATGCTCTATCAGCGCACTATCAGCAGCTCCTCCAGCAGAGGAAGGCTGATGTATCTCGGGTTTTAAATGGATCCTGAGGACAAGAGAGGACCGAGCGCGCCAAGTGACTCGTGTCAAGTGGACATCCTTATCTCCCAAAGATGGGCGACTCTCTCTCTCTCTCTCTGGAAGGCAGCGGCGGCGAGCGCTCAGGCTCAGAGCAGCTGCAGGTTCAGAGAAGGACGGAGCTTCTTGATTTTAGCGTCCTGGCTGCTCTGTCATAAACAAACCGCGCGGCCCACATCGAGTCTGCGTTGGGGAGCTCTCAGGAGGTGGACCGCTCTGGAGCAGACTGCTCCACTCCAGGCAGCTTGTCCCTCCTCGCGGCCGCCGGCAGCCGGGGGCCACCATGACGGAGTGGACTCTGCTCAAGCGCCTCCTGGACGCCGTACACCAGCACTCCACCATGATTGGCCGGCTGTGGCTCACCGTCATGGTCATCTTCCGGCTCCTGATCGTCGCCGTGGCCACCGAGGACGTGTACGCCGACGAGCAGGAGATGTTTGTGTGCAACACGCTGCAGCCGGGCTGTTCCACCGTCTGCTACGACGCCTTCGCGCCCATCTCCCAGCCTCGCTTCTGGGTGTTCCACATCATCAGTGTGTCCACGCCATCGCTCTGCTTCATCATCTACACGTGGCACAACCTGTCCAAGCACAACGCCACCCAAAGGTTGGGGCAGGGGGCGGCCGACGCGTCGGGGCAGGGAGGCCGGGACGGCGGGCGAGAGGCCTATGATCGGAGCTGCGACTCAGACAGCTGCTCCATCCAGTCCCATAAGCACCTGGGGCACAGCCTGGCGAATGTGCTGGAGGGCATCGCCGCCAAGGACCTCCAGAGGCTGGACCCCAAAACCTTGAGCCAGGCCCGAGCCTGCACCTTCAGGGAGGGGGGCACAGAGGCTCATGTGGGCTCCGGAGGGGTTTTGTCCAAATGTTACATCTTCCACGTGTGCCTACGGGCTGTCCTGGAGGTGGGCTTCGTCCTGGCTCAGTGGAAGCTGTTTGGCTTCCAGGTGCCCGTCCACTTCCTGTGCACCTCGTCTCCCTGCAGCCAGCCGGTGGACTGCTACGTCTCCAGGCCCACGGAGAAGACCATCTTCCTGCTCTTCATGTTTTGTGTCGGGGTTTTCTGCATCCTGCTCAACCTGCTCGAGCTCAACCACCTGGGCTGGAAGAAGATCCGCCGGGCAGTGCGGCTGCAGGAGCACGGGTCCTGGGGAGCATACGAGACCTTCCCTCCAGACAGCCCCTCCTTCACATCCTCTTTAGGCTTCAGGGACGTGACCAGCACCACCTCGCTGCCCACCCTGAACCTGGTGGTGGGTCACCAGCCGGACTGGACCTGTGCGGTGGACTGTGGCAGGATGAGGGAGCCGGAGGAGGTCCGAGAGAAAAGACCGGAGCCCCTAAGGAGAGAGGACTCCCATAAAGGAGAGAGGCAGCCTTTGAAGAGCAAGAGGGAGATCAGTGGGTCCAAACACAGGAGTGCCGAGGTCTGGATTTAGTCTCCATGACACCGCTGTCTTTATTTATGCCGACCCATGGAGCTCACCAAAAAAACCACCTGGATCACGTCCTCATGTGTGGAGCAGAGACTCATCTTACGCTGTGATGAGGGACGGGACCAGTGAAGCTGCATTTTAAAGTTGTAGTACATCACTGCTCAGACTGTCCTGTAATTATCAGTTTAGATTAGAAGTCTGTGCACATTTATCAAATATGTCATGCTGACCAAAGTCCTGCACAAAAGACACAAATGGATAAAAATAAATATGAACTACAGAAAATAAATAAAATGCATTAAGCTGCTAAACGTCAGGGCAGACACACTAATCCTAAGTGAACAGGTCCGACTCTGAATACCAAGAAAAATAAGGGTTGTTTCTTACAAATATTCTGATTGAGTCATATCTGGATGTAAAGTTTGAACCTGATGTTGACATAATTTTGTGTATAAACAGAACAGACTGAACAAAGAAAGAAAACACGTGAACGCTGCCTCGATATTTACTCCTCATTTATTTACGCAATATATTTTTGGAATATATTCATTTACAACATCTATAAAACACCTTTTACATAAATTATGCTACTGAAAAACTAAAACACAGAACTGTGACGTTTCCTGTGCAGGGAAGGGGTTTGCAGACTGAACACTGAGACTGCAAAGGCAAACGGAGGCGCGGGGTGGAGAGAGCGGTTTGTTTTAGTGTATCAAAGAGTCAGTTATTCTCACTGTGGGAGTGTGAGGAAGGCCCATCGTGGGTCTGCAGCCTGTAAACAAAACCAAACATCTGGGTGTTTTTTTTGTTTTTTTGCCTGTCCCGTTTGGCTCTTTTGCATCAGAATTGTTGTCCAAAGGCAAAGAAAGATGCCCAACGGATTTACTTTACCAAACTGACCATCCCAGCCTTGCCATAATGGTCCATTTGATTCACCTTTTATTGTTTATTTTATTTTCACTTACTGAATACGGGACAGACTTGACTGGGGGAAAGAAGGGGAGAAAGAAAGAGGGAAAGAGAAACAGCTGAGAAGAGGGACGGGGGAGAAGGGCAAAAGACAAAAACCAACAGAACGGGCATCTGGGTGTTTTTATGATAAATGCATTTAAAAAAACCTCCCGTGGCAGGGGTGTGGTCTCTGTGGCAGGGGTGTGGTCTCTGTGGCAGGGGTGTGGTCTCTGTGGCAGGGGTGTGGTCTCTGGCCTGCTGCAGTGGAGGGGCGGTGCCAGGACGTGAGAGGGGACAGGTGAAATATGATGGCGCTAATGACCCTCCCCCCTTTGTAGTGATGGAGGCGTGGGGAGAAGTGTGTAGTGGAGGAAGCCGTGTAGAGAGGTCCGGGCGACAAGAAGCTGGAAAGAGTGCTTGTGGTGAAAAATAAAGCTGGGGGGGTCCGCTCATTTCACAACTCCTCTCTTGTTTGTGGAGGACGTCCTCTGTGTAGGTAAGAGCTCCCCGCTCCCCCAAACTCATAATTAACTGCAAATAAAAAAATCCTCATACATCTAAGCTAACAGTAAGAGTCCAGCACAGCTGGTCGAGCTGATCCAAACACGACGGAGCCGAATCAGGTTTGGATCAAAGACGCAGCCGAGCGTCTGCGATTGGACCGCAGTAAAAAACTACAATAACACCAAAAACAGGTGGAAGAACTCTGAGGTGGTCAAACCCTCCTCTCCGCTGGAGTAAAGAGTAAGCACGGTTTTACTGGGCTCAGTTCCTGTTTAACTTTCAAATTAAAAGCCTAAAATCACAGCTCATACAGTTTCCTCACGTTCAGCCACCTGCTGATTTGACCTCAGGCAGAAACAGACTGAAAAAGATGAACTAACAGAAGCGACGCGATCATCAGACCACAGCCAGATCACTCGATGTGGAAATAAACCTGCTCTGCTGTGACTGTTGACCTCTGATCAGAGCGTCTGGCGCCGTAAACCGAGACGTAATAAATCACGCGTAATCGTCCGACCTGAAGGTAAACTTTAATTTGAACTCCAGCCTACTCACAGGTAAGCTTCAGTTCATGTTCTGATGCTCTGACTCGTCTCGACAAATAAGGCCGCAATTAACAGAGTCGTGTGACGTCTGCACAGCTCGCACGCTGCTGACAAACACTTCTGACCCTGAAGCACCAACGCGATGTTTCCATAAACGTCACCGAGTGGTCGTTTAAAAAAGTCTTTTTTGTTTCTCTCTCAGTACGTCAATCACGTGTCGTTGGACTTTAATGATGCGAAGTTTTGAAACGTTGCTGTTCTCGGGCTAAGTCACGTGTCCAACTCTGGGTCTCTGACAGGCTGCTAGTCCATCGCAAGCTGTCTCACAGACACCATCATCATCATCACACGCGTCCTTTAAAGCGGCGCACACGGAGCCGGGGCTGATCTACAGTGATGGGAAATAAAAACAGGAGCTTTCTTACAAAAATATGATCAAATAAGTGTGAAACTAAATAAAAAGCCAAAGAGAGGACGGCGTTTGTTGGTTTCCTTCTTATTTGGTGACTAAACAGATGGCAGCTGGTTAAAAGCCTCAGACTCATCCACTAAAACTAGGAGCTGGACGAGTTTCACAGACGTCTTCAGGTTGAAGATGAGAAACAGACACTTGCTTCAGTCTCACAGAACAGGACAAAGATCTGTGGTTATCTGCCTGTGATTGTGTGAAAAACTCAAAGTGCTGAAGAGGAGGAGGAAGGTGCGACGTGGAAGGCTAAAAAGCTTCAGTGCAGACGACAGCTCAAACATCAGCTTCAGGCTGTCGGACGAGGCGGCGTCCCCGATCCTGACAACGAACCGTCAGAGCATGTAAACACAGAGAGACACATTCAGAGCGACGGCGTGCACGCGTGAAGACGGGTTTAAACACAGACCGGCCGTCGGAGCCGAGAGGGCAGCAGAATAACAGAAAGATCAAATCCAGTGGAGAAAACCAACACAGGCCAAACATTCAGCTTCACATTTGAAATACTCTGACTTACAGAAGGTGAAGTTTGGGTTTTTGGAGCTTGGGTCACCGTTTCTGTCCGTTAGGGTCACGCCTGTGCTAACCGCTGAGATCTGAGAGCGTGGCACGTGACCGGCACGTGACCGCCACCAAACCCCATCACAGAACGCAGAGTGAGGCGAGCAGGCGGTGCAGTGGGGACAGCGGGGATAAATGGTCACTATGGTTTTGGTGCCGTGTGATTTTTCTATGTGCCGTGGCTCCAAAAGGGAAACACGACTGATCGCCTGACTGCTCGTGTTTCTGAAACCATTAAAACGTCTCCTGCTGTCCACGTCCCAGTCTCAGCGTAAAGCTGTAACCAAGGACAGAAACGACGCCGAAACTACAAAAGCAAAGAAACAAAGTGAAGTCAGGATGAAGTGGATGAGATTTGGGCCTCAAACAAAGTCACACAGACCAAACTCCACCCGCTCACGTCTCTCACATTAAAACCAGAACCTGGCCGAGCTCCATTTCAAAATAAAAGCACCTCCATCCTTGGATTGTGGGAATGTGGAGCGGCTCACTTCCTGTCTGATTCTGATTTGCAACACATCATTTTTGACACAACCAGGAAACATTGAAAGGTGACTTTTAGCAGAACTAGCGTGACCATAAAGTGAGGAAATGTTCGTAGTGGTCGGACGGCGGCGTCGGGATACCCGGCAGAGGCGGCAGTGCTGGACGGTGGGCGGAGTGACAGGTTGAGACCCCGTTAAAGGCTCGGGTTTCCGTTCAGGTTCTTAAATATCAACAGACGACAAAAGTAAAGGAGACGTTTAATCTGAAGTCGGCCGGGACGAAACAGCCGCGTCTGTGGTCCGAAACAGAATCCGCCGCACGCTCACGCCCGAGTCGGGCCGAGGAGAGTCTGCGGAGGCCCGGCGGTGGCGCTCTTCACTGAGGCAGGGGGACGATGACCTCCACGTAGTTGATGGGGAAGAAGCCGGACTCGCCGTTGATCATGCCCTCGTACCAGTTCTCGTCGATCTGGTTGGTGAGGATGATGATGTCGCCTTCTTTGAAGCCCAGCTCGCCCTCGTTCTCCGGCTCAAAGTCGTAGAGGGAGCGACAGCAGGGCTGATCCAAAACCTCCGGCTCTGCAGACAAAACAAAAACTTTATTTAAAAACCTCTGATGGACGGACGGGGCTCGTGACGCAGCGGCGAAATGAAAGCACAACGCTCTGATTTACCGCGAGTCTCCTTCCTTCTTCCTGATTCCTTCCCTCCTTCCTCTATTCTTCCTATTTCATTCCCTCCTTTATTCACCCTTCCTAATTCCTTCCTTCCTAGTACCCGGCAGCCCCTCCCTCAGCCCGGCTCCAGGCCCTGTACACCTGGTCTGAGCGAGGTTGCTGGGTTTGTGGACTCGTGTGTCCTCTGCTGGAGGGGTCTTGTTCACAGACCCCCCCAGCAGCACACAGACCCCCCCAGCATGGGTCGAGAGCTAAATGGATGAACAGAAACAATCAAATCTCTCAGTTTCAGCCTCTGATCTGCCATTTTTGGAATTTTGTCTTTAAAATAAGATTTAAAATTCATTATTTGCAAACAGTTTCATATTTTAAAAATTTATATCCCAGCTTTGTCTGAAACAGGGTTAAAGAGCAGGTTACTCATCCAGACAAAGACGGTAAGAAGACATCCAGTGGGTGACGTTTGCTCCGTGACAACACCGACAGACGAAGATCACGAGGAGAAAAATAACAGAATTCACCCACATCTCATGTTTGATCAGCTGAAAATTTACTGTCGTTTTGCTGGATATCAAAAACAAAATCCCGGGGCTGCCGCTCACAGATGCGGGCAGATGTGTGACGGCGTCGGCGTGCGTTACTCACGGTGAGCGTTGCCGTTGGTAGCGGGGGTGTCGGGCCATGACAGCTGCACAGATGATATGTGATCAGCTGGATGACATGTGGAGACAGATGGAGATGGCGATGAGCACAAAACAACAAAAACAATGAGAGGATCAGAGCACCGCTGTGGTGTCAGACTGCCACCAGCAGAGGGCAGCAGCGTTCCAACAACAGCTGCAGGAAAAGCTTCACGTCTACTCCTCGCTTCATCTGTTAGTCGTTTGGAGCTCATCACTGTGTCAGAGTTTAAGGTGACAACGTGCAGCTGAGCTCAGGTTTTTAAATTAAACATAAATGGAGAGATAAACTTCCTGTGAACGTCACAGCTCGAGTTTCCATCTGTGTGCAGCAGAGCAGCGGTCAGGACGCCCAGAAACAGGTGAGACGTTCACTGTCAGTTTGTAAAAATGGAAACATTCCCACACGATGAACATGATGTGTGTGTGCATAAAGGAATACCTACTTTTCCCGTTCAGTGTGTGGCTGATCTGCGTATCTATAACAGCAGAAGAAGAACAGTGGGACTCAACGCAACGATGGAAACAAACTGAGACACACAGACGGATGCACAGACGGACGGCGTACCCGTGGACTTGAGCGAGGAGCTGTAGGACAGGCCGTTGTGCTGGTTGCTGTCGAGCGCCTCGATGCTGCTCCTGATCGACTTTGGCTTGAAGTCTCTCTTGGGCCGGCTGCTGGCCGAGGATATCCTGGAGGAGGAGAGAGAGAGGGAGGCGACTCGAATCAAAGCCGACATTTCCTCTCCGGCGGCAGACCGGACGCTCCGAGGGGAAACGGGCCCACAAACCTCAGATCTCAGCAAATTTCAGGGTTTATAAGCGCTCTTACTCGCTACTTCTACCTTACTGAGCGCGTGTTTAACGAGGACCAAAGAAGTGTTTTTAGCCTTTACTGATGGAAACATGGAGTAACAGGCTCTGACATTTCAGGAGGATAAAACTTCTGATGTCTGCGCAATCCGCCGACAGCGAGCGGCGGCCAAATCCAGACGCTTTCATCAAGAACAGAACCTGAAGTGTGAAAAACACCTTCGGTGACAGACAAACTCAGTGAGCTCCCGCTTTAAAAACGCTGCTGACAGACCTGCTGTTCACAGCGTGAAACGACGTCCCGAAGAATGCCGCGAGCGCCGCGAACGCCACGCAGACATGAACCCCGATCGCAGCAGAGGAGAAGCGGCTCTCTTACCTCTTCTGCAGTTTCCCACTGAGCTCCTGCAGGATCTCACACGACTGCTGGTGGTACTCCAACGCCGCCTTGATCAGTGCTGACAGCTGGTTCACCTGCTCCACCTGGTGGCCACACACGCACACACACACACACACGCACGTTAAACGATAACGTCTCACGTGTGAAACCCTCCCCGTTACCCGCGTCTTCGCGTCTCTTACGTCGTTCTCCAGGAAGTTGAACATGCTCCTCTCAGCCAGCTCTTTGCTTTCGTCGAACTTCTCCACCGCCTGCCGGATCTCCTCGTCCGGGATCTTCCCCTGACGCTTCTTCTTGTAGTCAAAGTCTAATCTGCGGCCCTCCAGCTTCTTCAGGTGATGCTGCGAACACCAGCGGCAGAAACACGTCGACACGCACGTCACACTGTGTGTTTCTTTACAAAAACATTTCATTTAAAACCATCGTGAACAGATTTACTGAGCTGATGTGGAGGCGAAGTGATCAGGCGTGTGCAGGTGGAGGTCACGAGGCTAAACGCCACGAGCAGCGTATAAGAGGCGAGTGTACTGAGGATAACGTCGTCTAAAAACTCGAGTGTAAGAGTGAAATTCACGATCAGAAGAATGGCCCAAATATCTGATGTGACTCCGCCCACACACCTGAGAGTCCAGGTGCAGGTCAGAGGGTTAGCAGCTAGCATTAGCTCGGCACACGGAGAGGAGAAGCTGCAGGTTTGCTGCACAGCATCTCGCGCAGTAAAGCAGAGGTAGGATGATCTGTGCGTGCAGCGCCCCGACAGGCAGATTTCAAACTGTTTGCAAATTCGCTGCAGAAATTTCAGCGCGTGTTTCTGCTGCGCTGCAAACGGCGCCAGCGGTCAGAGAACCTCGCAGTCTCTCGTCTGTCTTTACCGTGATCTCTTTGAGGTCCTTGTCCTGTAGATTCTGCAGGGGGTCAATGAAGTTTTGTTTGACGTTTATGTCCAGAGAGTCCTTCACGTCTGCCATCTGCCTCATGGCCTCACCCACATCCACCAGAGCGCATCCTGCAGGACAGAGAGAGGTGCCGCCTCCAATGAGCCGTTATCACAGTGATCTCAATAAAATCATCTACAAGGTACAAACTCCTCATTCAACACTGACACACGCAGCCGACTAACAGCAGCACAGAGGGGCGCAAACACAGGGACACGACGAGGGAGGAAATCTGTAGTTCTTTGCATCCTGACCTCACAGCGAGTGACCAGCTCAAAGGAGGGACGCTGCACACTCATTGGCCGGTGACTTGGTTTCAGACTCGGCTGCTTTCCGACTCTGACGGCCAGAATTTTAAAATGAACGTCAGGCTGCAATCGTACCGCCTCCTCTAACCTGAGGCCACGCCCCCTGCTGGCCATTATTACAAACGACACTTCTGCCTTGTATGACTGTGCACTGTAACCTGCACACAGTCCTGCAGGCTTTTGTCCGACATGCAGCGTTCTGCAGCAGACCGCCTGTTCAGCAACACCGAGCGTCACGCTGACACCTGACGTCATGAAGGAGGCAAAGCAGCATTCACAACATTGATGCTTTTAAACTTGTGGTGCACTGTGCAGATTTTATTACAGAGCAATCTTTGAAAACTGCTGCATCACTGTAACACTGACGCTCTGCATGCGTCTTGTACTAAGCAGCTGCGTCCATGTTAAATGTTGCAGTGAAAGGCCAAAGATGACCGTGCTCACGCCTCGGTGCCAGTGCAGGGTTTGCGCTGGCGCCGCCTGTAACGGCCTCTGTGCAGCTGTTAGAGGACCTGAGGCATCTGAGAGCTGGTACCAAACAAAGAGTCCTCTCCCAGCTCCTGGCCGTAGCGCAGCATGCAGTCGCCCAGCAGGCCTTCGGTCTGGGGGTAGCCGGTGGTCTTCACCTGCCCTCGGATCTTGGACATCGTGTTCAGCATGTTCAGTTTGGCTCGAGACGCTGGCGAGGAAACAAAGAATCAAACGCAGGTTTGAGTTTGTAGCACAGAAAGCTCAAAGAACAGCAAACATGGAGGTGTTTCGCACCTGGGTTAGGCTGGAGGTACTCTGTTGTTTTGGACAGGAGGTCAAGCACCGACTTGCTGGTCACCTCGATTTTCTGAAAAAAGGTTGCAGTTAAATGTCAGGATGACATCTGAAAGATTAAATTCAGCAAACGGTTCAGTTTGTTGTGAAATCGTACAATTCCTAAAGCTAACAAACGTTTTAACGGCGAGTTAAATAAAGCGGGCGGCCCGAGTGAAGTGTTTCGTCAGCTGAAGATGACGAGACCTCCCAGTTCTGTCCCGAGCGTATGAGTGAAAGTGGTGAGCAGGCCGGCCGCAACCCTCGGCGTGTGCTGGACTCACCCGCTCCATCTCTAAGAAGTCTTCCTCCAGCTTCGTCCCCTCCGCCCCGCTGATCTTTTCACTGAGGAGCTGCACAGAGAGAGCACACAGAGTCACAGAGGCCTGAAGCGTCTTTATTTGTTAACATTTGTGCTTCTGAATGCGTTCAATAAAGTTTTCCCTGCTTGCATTCAAATTTCAACACATCTGAGTAAACCCGGCTCACGCTCCAGCCGTCGCTCCATTAATCACTGTTTAACGCCTCTGGGATTTATCCGAGGATGACATCATCCTCACAATCTGTCACTGTGGTGTTGGAAGAGACGCCGAAACACGGACCTCCTCCTGTGACGGTCATTTCAATTAGAAATGCAGATTTTACACACGTTTAACTTCGTTCCCACGCCGTGTGACATCTTTGTTTGAAGCAGGCTCACACAGCGCCGTATGTGACTCCATGTTTTCTGGGCTATAAAGAGCTCCACACGGACAGACTGACTTCACTCGCAGCCTGTGTGATGGACACTGGTAAACGTGCCGGGTTTACACAGGAAACACGAGCATCGACCAATGGCTAACAAGCCGCAGTAACACTGTCGCCACTTCAAAGAAACTTTATTAGTGTGAGCATTTAGCTGGACAACAGTAACACACTGATCACTTACAGAGCACGTTTACATTATTCGTGATATAATGAAGGCCGGTGCCTTTCAAAATAAAAGTGCACATCACACAGTAAACTGCATCGACTCTTGGAAGGTGGTGCTGAGCGATGACACTCTAAAGTAAAAAGGTGTAAAGCAGACCGCTGAGAGTAACTTAATTACATTTACTCGTTACTGTCAAAGGCTCTGATTGGCTGACGGTTTGGTTGGAGTTGCCGGGCGCTCACACAGCAGTAACAGCCGCGCGGACGCCGTTTAAAGAGGATAAAAATTCTCTGAACACAAAGTAAAGCTCTCAGATTTGGGGCAGTGGGCCAGTCAGACCTGCGACTGCAGCCTGAGCTGAAATCTGACCCATATCTGTGTTTATTTAGGGATCAATAAACTTTAAGGTCAGTCTGATTCATGCTTCTGCACGCTGATCCCAGGTCTGTTTGGCCTTTTTAATCCTCTGCTTATAAAAACTAAACAGCATGTTTAAGACACGCTGAGCTGAACCAGAAGCTAATGTGCAATAAAAACATGCCGGGTGGGGGGTACTGTGGAGGGACGGACAAGCCAGCTAAACATTGAAAACGTTACGTGGTGACTGCAGCCTTTTATTCACGACATGAATTGAAACTACGAGGTCTTCCTGTAACAGCAGCTCAGTAAAAACTACCTGCAGGCTGAGTTCAGAGCCTGGAGATCACACAGCAACCTGCAGCTCTGCTAACCTGAGAACTGCCAGGAGACACGACACGAGACTTTCAGGTTCAACCAGATGTGAGACGACGCGACGGGCGCCGAGCGGCAGGAAATCACGTCCACGAGGGGAAATTCAGGATTACTGAGGCAGACGGAGCGTGTCGTCCACCTCAGAGACGCTTCTACACGAGTACGATGACCACAAACCTTCGTACCACGCAGCACCGCTACAGCTTCAACTGAGCATCAACATCAACTTCAACTGAGCATCAACCTTCAGACACGTGAAGTCCAAACATCTGCAGTTCCTCTGACGTCCAGCAGAGGCAGCAGTGAGTCAGCCCCACAGACTCCTGTTCAAACTTCACAGCATAATAAACATGTTTACAGCCGGATACACACACTGTTTGCTCTGTGTAGATAATTCTCCTTCATAACAGCTGCACGGCGGAGCATGGTTCACCTGTAACTCACCTGTTGGACATATACAGGACACGCTCTATGCTCCACACTATCACAGATAGATTTTTCTGTTACAGCAGGAAATAAAGAGCAAACATCGTCGTGAGATCCATGAACAGCCCAGGACTGGACCATCAGCACTGTTACAGGTGCAGAAGAAACTAAACCTGATCGTACGTTAGCGCAGAACCTGAGACGATGCACCTGATACGCCGTCCTCTGGATCAGACGATGTTTGTTATGAGGTCAGACGTCTTAGGTGTAAAGAGCACAGGTGAGCCACGTTACACTCGGTAATAAAGGTGTGTCCCATCCACTCAGCGCTGTGTCATGTTCTCAGCTGTTGGACTCTCAGCGTCCTGCTGCTCATGTGATAAACCGATCATACGGCGCCGTTTACAGCCCACTGACAAATCACACAAACAGCTGTAAACGACAGCGGAGTGACGCCGTGGCGAGGCGTCATATCGGATGCAGCTTCTCCTTCAGGTAACTGAACGTCATCCAGTCAGTCAGTTACTCGTGGTGCTGATTTTACTGGATTAAGTACAAAGAATGAGATCAATACGAGGATCGATACAGGACATCCCGTCTTATCTCTGGTCCCTGTAGGCCGCCGCTGAACTGCAGCGAGGCACAGATCAGTGAGGGAAACCATTTTTAAAGCTTTGAGGACAGTAACATGGAATGGAACCAGTCAAAAGAAGGCAAACCAGTACAAACCAGTGCAGAGACATAGCTGCCTGTACTGGTGAACCACACTCCATGAACATCCCAGCAGCGCTGCAGCTAACAAAGTTTTCTGGCAGAACCCACCTGTGCATGATCTAATATTCACCTTCATAACTGCAGGCCTGCTTGTTAATATCACGTTACACGAGCTTTACCTGGTAACTCATCAGCCAGTAAGCCTGAAGATCTCGTTTAAATAAACGGGACGAGGCGAAGCGCTGGAAACGCCGCCGCCGACATTTGTCCCAAAACAAGTAGCCTTTCATCACAGCGTCATTAATGCTGAGCCTACGTCCTCCCGACCAACCTAAGACCTGTGAGCTGCACACCTGTCCAGCTGCACCCAGCTGTGCGATCACTTTTACCACAGCTGGTAAAAGTGTACAAACCCCTGAGAAAAGCCCAGAAAGGTTTTAGGGATGTTATCCACCTGATACTGAAACGTCAGGAAGTCCAGCTGCAGTGCAACTGCTCAGTTTCATAATAAACTCAGAGCTCTGATTGGCTGCACGCCGAGCTACGAGCCGACTGTGCCCGACAGCATTAGCGTCACCTTCAGTAGTTTAACGAACGCAGTCACAACACGATCACTCGGCCAACCGTCGAGTCCAAACACTCCGCAGAGTGGGGTGTGTTTGTTTGTGTGTGTGTGTGCGCTTCAGGCTCGACTACAAGTGCTGCCGAGTAGCAGGAAAGATTCACCAAGTGGGTCAGAGCCTGGGTAAAATTAGCAGACTCAGAGAAATGAGCCCAATCTGACGGGCAGAGCCTTTCTAGGACAGAGGAGGGGGCGCTGAACAGGAAGGCTGAACGTCTCGCTGCAGACTCGCTGCACGCTCCGTCTAGATCATCACAGAAGCACAAGCACAGAGCTGGGGTCGGGACGTGGTTAGCCACGTGACCGGGACTTTTCCTAAAAACAAAGAATGATCAGTTCAACGTTCAGGTTTCTTTTCCGCACTTCCTGACGTGTATCTCCTGCTCCAGCGTTGGACGTTCCCATTGAACGTTTGAAGTTAATAATAATGAGCTCAGCGTATTTACAGTAATCCAAGCTCAGGCTACATTTTATTACAGGTTTTTATCCTTGGATCAGCACAGTCAGCACGGGTGAGCAGGATGGGGGTTAAATGACCCTCAATGAAAGTTTGTGTACGAGCAGACAAATGACATCACAAGGAGGTTTCTGTGGGACACCTTGACCCCGTGGGCTGTCACACGCCGAGCTTAAAGATGTGCTGCACGGTGAGGATGATGAGGGCAGAGACAGGAGAGTGAGACAAAGGCCTGCAGCAGCCTCGAGAGCACCAGGAGTTAAACTAAGACACTGTAACAAAAAGATGGATTAGTTTGAACTGTGACTTATACTAAGCTACGCTAACAAGTCTCCTTTAAAACATGTGCAAAAGATGCAGTTTTAAAGGCAACGTGTTATCATGAAGGACAACGTGGAAGTTCATCTGAATGTAAAGTGAAATGTAACTGTTTGTAAATGTAACCATGTGTAACTGTTTCCAAAGTAACGCAGCCTTTGGCAGCTGATGGATGTCAGAGGAGGAGACGGCACAAAGCCTGCAGGCCAGATGCATTAGCAGCAGGTTACAGGTGGCTAAGACAGACTTTTAATCCACGCAGACTCCACGTGAACCGACACATTAGAGCTGAAATGATCCCGAGCGCTGAACACGAGGCTCAGCAGTGAAAACCCGCCGACTCCCCGCACGCCGCCATCTTCATCAGGATGTTAACGTCTCCTCACAGATCAAAGCAGCAGCAGCTTTGCAGCATTTCTTTGATTGTGCAGCTCAGATTGCACGCACACACACACACACACACACACACGCCAAGCAATAACGCTGCAGCCAGAGCGCACACGTAAACATCAGCTTCCAGCCTCTGCGAGGGCGTCCGAGGCCTCGTATATTAACCTGTTGCATTCTCTTCAATTTTTATTGAATATTTCTGACTTTCCCAAAAGGAAAGGCCTAAAAATGAAGAAGTATGACTCTAAAAGCTCTTCAGAAGATCTTAAGTTGGGGCAAGAACACGTCCGACGTCTGAAAATCAAACCAAACTTTGGGGCATTTGTTTGCGTCTCTGAGCGTCTCCAGCACGTCCAAATGAAACACACCCAACAACATCCAGGAAGTCCAGGGAATGTTGTCTGTGCAGCCTCAGAGCAGCGACGGCCTCTGTGAGACGGCGGTCCTACCCGTTGTCCCACCTCAACTTCAATAAATGCACAGAATAAATGTTCATGTGACAGCTCTACACACTGAACAAAGACACACTCATCTTAAAGGAAGTAGAGTTCGCTGGGTCGTTAAGTATTCATTAAACTTAATTTAATCTTCAGGTCCAAAACTTTTCTCTCTTTTTCCCCTGAAACTAAAAACTAGGTTTTTGTTTTAACCTCTTGGAAAAGATCTGACTTCAGATTTTAAGGTTAATCAAAAGCGTCCGGAGGTTAATTAAACGCTTTAACACTCGTCCGCACCGACGCGCGCTCCCGTCCCCGCTCGGCGTTTCGCTCGGCCTCACAGC